TACTCTACTCTACTCTACTCTACTCTACTCTACTCTACTCTACTCTATTCTATTCTATTCTATTCTATTCTATTCTATTCTATTCTTTTCCTATTCCTATTCCTATTCCTATTCTACAGCTCCAAAAAAAGCCCCTTCAGCTCCACACACCCCAAATCTCCCCTCTGAGCTCCTGAATTGTAAGGTTTTGAGCTACGTCCAACCAAGTTGCGTCGGCCCAAGAGAGAAAAAAAAAACCCCTCCACTCAAAGCCGGCCTTGGAACGATGCAACGGGGTGCAGAAACCAGCATTTGGGAGGGAAACAGCCGCCCCTTGTGCGCTCTCTCCAGCCCGCTGCAACAGCTTTGCCATCTTTTCTGCTTGGATATTTTGCATGTGGGGAGGCCTAATCTAAACCACCTGGCCGAGGGTGTCGGGCTTGAGCAGGCTCGCTCCTTGTGAGAAACGGAAGAGAAGGAATGCAAGGGAGGAAAAAGAGATCCCGGAGAAGTTCAGCTCCTTTGGCAGAGAGCCCTGCCAAAATGTTCGTTGCTTGGATTTTCCCAATCATGTCAGCTAGGTTTTCAAAAAGCAACCCACCGCAGCTGAAGCATTATTTTATTTCTTCTCCCCACCCCCCCACTCCCCAAAAAGCTGCAATCCTATCCTGGGAAACCTCCTGTTTGTATTGGCGTCGTTTTCCACCGCCCTTCAAAGAATGCAAATTTTGAATGCAAAGACCTGTGGCTTGGTTTAAATTAATTTGGGGGCACTGTTTTATGTTTAAGTTAGATTGACAGAGTTGGAAGGGACTTCGTAGGTATTTCTGGTCCAATTCCCCACCCAAGCAGGAGACCTTACACCCTTTCTGACAGATGGCAGTCCAGTCTCTTCTTGAAAGCTTCTAACGATGACGCTCCCACAACTTCCGAAGGCAAGTTGCTCCGTTGAATATAGAATAACAGAATTGGAAGGGACCTTGTAGGTCATCGAGTCCAACCCCCCACACCCAAGCAGGAGACCCCACACCATTTCTGACAGATGACAGCCCAGTCTCTTCATGAAAGCCTCCAGGGATGAAGCTCCCACAACTTCCGAAGGCAACTTCTGTTCCATGGGTTGATAGTTCTAGTTGTCAGAAAATTTCTCCTTATTTCCAGGTTGAATCTCTCTCCTTGTTCACTTTCCATCCATTATTCCTTGTCTGGCCTTCGGGGGCTTTGGAAAATAGCTTGACCCCCTCATCCTCTCTGGGGCAGCCCCTCAAATATTGGAAGACTGCTCCCCTGTCTCCCCTGGTCCTTCTCTTCCCTAGACTAGCCAACCCCAGTTCCTGCAACCGTTCATGGTTTGTTTTAGTCTCCAATCCCCTCATTATCCTGGTTGCTCTTCTCTACACTCTTTCTAGAGTCTCAACCTCTTTTTTATAGTGTGGTGACCAAAACTGGATGCAGGATTCTAGGTGTGGTCTTACTAAGGCTTTATAGAGTGGTATTAGTACCTCACTTGATCTTGATTGTATCCCTCTGTTAATGCAATTTGGCTTTTTTTGGCTGCTGTTGCACACTGCTGGCTCATATTTAACTGGTTGTCCACTAAGAGCCCAAGATCTCTCTCCCAATCTCTAAGGTGGCATGATTCTGTCATTTAGTTTGGGGTGGGGTGACCAAAGGAACCCCAATGGGCTGAAAAACAGTTGAAAAGGCCATTCAGAGCTACAAAAGTGACTCGTGAACGGTCCTCGCGCTTACGACCGCCCTGGTTGCAGTGTCCCGGATCAGGGGATCGATGTTTGCCACCTCCCTAGCTTTGCTTTCCGACAAGCAAAAGTCAAGGGAGGAAGCTGGGTTCGCTTAACGACCATGGCACAAAGGTCGTAAATCAGGCACACTTAACATTGCTTAGCAATGGGGATTCTGCTCCCAACTGTGGCCGTAAGTCAAGGACTTATCCACCATGATTTATTTCCTGAACCGTTTGTGGGAAACGGAGGCCTCTCTGCAATCTCAATCCTCCGTCAACAACCCAAGTGTCTAATTTCTCTTCTTTTTCCATTGCTCCAGTCTTAAATACCCCACAAAATGAAAATTTAAAACTGCATCGTCCATCCATTCACCAAGGCAGTTATTTTAAGGTCATTCATGGTTAACAATTTCTCCAACAGTCTTGACTTCCAGATCACCCCAACAGATTCATTTGGATTTCATCTCCTTTCTAAAGCTCTCGTTTGGGGTTGTTTTAAAGCATCTCGAGGAAGATCAAATCAGTATCTAGAATAGAATAACAAGAGTTGAAAGAGGTCGTGGAGGTCTTCTAGTCCAACCCCCTGCTTAGGCAGGAAACCCTACACCACTTCAGACAGATGGTTGTCCAGTCTCTTCTTAAAAACTTCCAGCGTTGGAGCATTTACAACTTCTCCTCTTCTGCTACTTCTAACACTGATGCGAATGTTTGCAACCTTCCAAACGCTCAAGATCCCAGTCTTTAAAAGCAGGAAATATAATAGCAAGGAGATGCAAACTATTTTTCCCCCTTCCGGTTCTTTTGGCTACTTTACGGCTGGCAACGTGAAGTTGTTTCTTCTTCTGGTTTCCATGCATCCACTTCCGGTTCTCCTCTGAAAATCCTTCCCAGACATTTTAGAGAAGTGAACTCTTGAAAGTAGGAATTTGAAACACTTCTTTTCACAGAACGGTTTTTTTGGGAGGGAGGGAGGGGGGAATAGACATTTGGTCCAAGACAACTGTTGGTTTCCCCCCCCCCGCCCCCCCAAAAAGCTAAGTTTCTCACGCATAATTCTCGCATTAAATTCCTCCACCTTATATGTTAATCCCATCATGGTGACCTTGAGGCTTTCCAATAATATTCTCCAGATGAAATTAACACTTAGTTTGCTCAATTGGCCAATGAGTGGTGCAGCGGCCTAGAGGCGGTGCTCTCACCTCACAATCAGGAGGCTGTGAGTTCAATCCCAGGTAGAGGCAGGTATTTCTCTCTCTGGGCACGATGAGAATAGATCTGCCGAACAAAACTCTGCATTGGAGACCGGAAGGGCATCCGGCCAGTAAACCCTCAGCTCCATTCAATTGCGCAGGCTCCACCCTACAAGGGATTATGGGACCGTTAAATGATGAGGATTGCTCGATTGGCCAAGGAGATTCTTGGATAATATTTTTTTTTCCCCCAAGGAAACAAACCTCCTAAAAGCCACGGGAAAATCTTCCAAAAAGTCTCATACTTAGAGAGATTTAAATAGTAAATGACTAAAGACAGCCTTCTGGATTAAACAGTGGCATTTAAGTGCTACATCTTCAGAGGAGGCTCTCTCGCCAAACTGGTTCTTGAAGCGTGAAAGACGCTCACGTGGCCCACAATTGAGTCGACAAGGAAGAAATTGTAACCCTCTGATGTGCCTTCAGCCAGGGGACGTGTCTCCAAGAGGTGGACCTATGCTGTCCATGGCCTAGCCTGACAAGTTCTCTGGAGGCGTCAGGTAGGCATTGTTGCTCTCGCACAAGGCGAGTTGGACACTGGAGGCGAACCACCGCTTGGCGCAGCCCAGCCGGTAGTTGAGTGTGGTCCGGTAAATGTTTTTGGCACGTTTGGGGAAAATGATGGTTGTGCTTTGATACCGGAGGGGTTTCTGACGCGGCTCGAAAAGGAGCTGAGACTTGTAGTTCCGCCAAGTGCAGTTGGGGGCCACCGTGACGGACTCTCGGTAGGTGGTGACGGTGGGCCTGGGGTGGTAGAAGATGTCATCCCGGAAGTGCTTCTCTGAGCTGTACTTGATCTCCGAATTGCACCTGGGGAGGGGAAAGAGAGGGTAAGGAAAAGGGGAATCCGGGTGGATCTAAGCCAGCATTCATCACAGCTAACCATCAACGGGTAGAATGGAATGGAGTGGAATGGGAATGGGAATGGAACAGAAAGAGATTAGAGAATAGAATAGCATATGGAACAGAATGTAGAATAGAATAGAATAGAATAGAATAGAATAGAATAGAATAGAATA